ACCATACAATTGCCACCCACATTCAGAGGGCCTAGTTCAGTGCCATAGCTGTCAGTCCAGAGTCCTTGAGCTCCCACTAGCTCAGGTCAGCTCTCTTTGGTTTTCCCCATCATGATTTTGACCTGCCCCCTGAATCTGCTTTCATCAGTAATTGGATGTACATTCTATGATGACTGTTAGAGTAGTCACTAATCTAATTACAAGGGAAGGCCAGTTCAGGCACCCTCTCCACTATTGCTAGGAGTTTTAGCTAAGGCCTTCCTTGTGGATTCCTGGGAAATTCTCTAGCACCTGATTTCTCCCTAACCCCTAAGGACTCCCTCTAGCAAGATGTCTCTTTCATTGATCTCCCTCTGTGTTCCCTCCCCCAAGTCAACCATCTCAATCTCTCATGTATCCATACTTACCACCTCTCTTCTACCACCCCACTCCCAGCTTACCTAGGTGATCTTAAGACAAACAAAAAACCTTGAAAGACATCAATAAATCCCGAAAAGAAAGTCAAGAAAGCCAAGAAAAATAATCAAACAACTGGTATCTGGTTTTATGTTGAGGCCTTTGATCCATCTGGAGTTGAGTTTTTTTCAGGGTGATACGTATGAATCTATTTGTATTCTTCTACATGCAGCAGTCCAGTTTTAAAAGCACCATTAGTTGAAGGATGCTGTCTTTTTGTTGTATATTTCTAGCTTGTTTATTAGAAATCACCTGTCTGTGTGTGTGTGGATTTATCTGCGGGTCTTCTATTTGAGTCCATTGGTCAACTTGTCTGTGTTTGTGCCAGTACCATGCTATTTTTATTACTATTACAATTTGATTTCCAGATGGTTGTATTAGCTATCCTTGGTATTTTGCATTTCCATATGAAGCTGAGAGTTGTCCTTTCAAGATCTATGAAGAAATTTGATGGACTTTTTATGGGGATTGCATTGAATCTGTAGATTGCTTTTGGCAAGATGGTAATTGATCTATTTTAAGACCTGAGAGTGGAAATAGAATCAGTAAAGACAACTCAAACAGGAAAATCTGGAAATCAAAAATCTATAACAGCTCCCAGGGTACACAGTTTCACAAAATGCATCACAGAGAAAAAAACACGGGTGAAACACAAAAAGGCTGGCAGATGCATTTCTAGTCATGGTGAGACTCTAATTCATGGTGAAGGGGTTCTTATTTTTGGATAGAGCATGCCTATAGAAGTTCCTCAAGCAGGAGAAAGGTCAATTGCTGGCCTATGGGTGGTCTCTTACCAGGTAGAGGAGCCTTAGTTCTTGGATGTGCAGGCAGAGTTGGAGTTTCCTATCCTGCTGGGGACTTGTTGGGCTCCAGCAATACTAGCAGTGACAGGAAGCGCAGCAGCTGCTACTTTGCTTCTTCCGTGTGGAGTAATGACCTGCTGGAATGTACCACCTACTCCTTTGACAGGGCCCGCTAATCCACCAGGAGCTTAGGAAATAGGTTTAGCAGCTGGTATTCATGCCATCTGCCCTCCCAACACCAGGACCACCTGCAGCACCACATCAGCTAGTGGCACATGAGCAAGAGATGACCCTCCATGGTCATAGATACCAAGTTCTACCCATATCACAAGACCAGAGCAAATACTTTTTTTAAATTTTTTTTTTAAATTTATTTATTTATTAAAGATTTCTGTCTCTTCCCCGCCACTGCCTCCCATTTCCCTCTCCCTCCCCCAATCAAGTCCCCCTCCCTCGTCTTTTTTGCCTTTTTTGGATTGATCTTACTGATTGCTGTAGTCACAGAAGATCCAATTCATGTGCTTGTCAAAAAACTTAAAGTTACCGGTGAAGCCTCTTCCATCTTGCAACACACATCTCATTCTATAGTCAGTATGCTGCAGCATCTTGCTACTCTTTCCCACACCCTTGATTGCTGTTTCACAATAGCTAGTTGTTGTCAACAGTAAATTTTCAAGATCTTTAATACTTAGGGAGGATTATAAATAAAGGTATGTTGCAGGTTATCTTAGAAAGGATATATGCTCGTGCTGTCTCTCCTTCTGCTCCTGCTTTGGACCTTGAGATTTCTGTCCCGTGCTCCAATATGGGACTCTGTCTCCGTTCATCGCCTGATGAAGGATAATATTCAGGAGGATGCCTATATGTTTTTCTTTGGGTTCTCCTTCTTATTTAGCTTCTCTAAGAACAAGAATTATAGGCTCAATGTACTTTATTTATGGCTAGAAACCAAATATGAGTGAGTACATCCCATGTTCCTCTTTTTGGGTCTGGCTTAACTCACTCAGGATAGTATTTTCTATTTCCATCCATTTGAATGCAAAATTCAAGAAGTCCATGTTTTTTACTGCTGAGTAGTACTCTAATATGTATATATTCCATACTTTCTTCATCCATTCTCAGAAACGTGAGGGGTGCACCCACACACTGAGACAATGGGGATGTTCTATCGGGAACTCACCAAGGCCAGCTGGCCTGGGTCTGAAAAAGCCTGGGATAAAACAGGACTCGCTGAACATAGCAGACAATGAGGACTACTGAGAACTCAAGAACAATGGCAATGGGTTTTTGATCCTACTGCACATACTGGCTTTGTGGGAGCCTAGCCAGTTTGGATGCTCACCTTACTAGACCTGGATGGAGGTGGGTAGTCCTTGGACTTCCCACAAGGCAGGGAACCCTGATTGCTCTATGGGCTGAGGAGGGAGGGGGATTTGATTGGGAGAGGGGGAGGGAAATGGGAGGCAGAGGCGGGGAAGAGACAGAAATTTTTAATAAAAAAAAAGAAAGTATATACGCTTGACAGATACTTTGCAAACAGTGGATAAGTCCTGTTTTCCTTGACTTCCACAACTTTGAATTTCTAATACTGCTTTAACCACTTTTTGATGTATCTGCTAATAATGCATGTCTCCATTCTGCCTGTAAATCAACACAGGAACTTGCTACTACTGAGAACATCATTGGGACAGATCATAATCTTGGTTACTCAGTGAGGCTGCCCTGCTTTTGTCCTGGACTTCACCTCTGGCTTATGCTGTTTAGTAGTTCTTCTCATGTGTTAGCAATTGTAGCATGAGTTCTAATTGGTCTTAATAATTAAAACCCAAAGTCAGATATAGGGGTTAATGCTGACAAATCAGAGAAGCAGAGCAGCCAGTCACTAGTTTTTACCTCTACTGTATCCTCAGACCGAATGGGCGAATTTGTCTCTAGGAATCAGTAGACCATATGGGCGATCCTGTCTCTAGAAATTCTCAGCCTAGATATCCTGAGTGCCTGTCTCCTGCTGCTTTATAGTCTTCTCTCTGCTCAGGCACCTGTCTCCCTGTCCCCACCTCCCTGCTGCTATGATTAAAGGTGTGTGAAGCCCAAGTACTGGGATTAAAGGTGTGAGCCATCTCTGCCTGGCTCTGTTTCACTGGTTAAACCTTTTGTAGTCCAGGATAGCCTTGAACTCACACAGATCTGTCTGTCTCTGCCTCCAATGAGCTGGGATTAATGGTGTATGCCACCATTGGCTGCCCTCTCTGGCTAACTAGTGGCTAGATCCAGTCTGTGATCTTCAGGCAAACTTTATTTGTTAGATAACTAACAAAATATTACCACAGGAAATCTCTTGCTTGCTCCACCGAGTTGCAAATCACTGATTAACCAAGCATCAGGCATCTCCAACTCCCTCCCCTCTCTGTGCCACAAACAGATTTGTAAATCAATAGTTCCTTTGTGGGTTTATAAAAATCCACTTCAAACAATGTATACAGTACTCTTTCACGTAATATCAAATCATTTCCCTTACCTTCCAAATGTTGTATGTTGTGTCTGTATCTCTGTGTATGTGTACTTGTAATAAAATAAGATTAAGACTTTATTGAAATGTCCAGTCAAAATAACAGCCACTAAAGAAAAGAAAAAACAAGTAGTAGTGGTGAAGGTGCCAACAAAGTGGATCCCTTATGCACTACTGGTGAAACCAAAAACTAGTTCAGCCACTATGGAAATCAGTATGATGGATCCTAACAGCACTAAAAATAGTTTTTCTGTATAATCCAGTTATATTGCACACCTGCCTGTTTACCTGAAGGACTCCAAGTCAGCATATCTCAGAGATACTTACACATAAATGTTTATTGCTGCATCAGTTTACAATTCACTATAGCTATGGAATCAATCTAGGTGTCACAAAACAGGAATTGTTTTCGGTAAGGTTTCCGTTACCCTGATGAAACACATGACCCAAGCAACGTGGGGAGAAACGGGTTTATTTGACTTAGGCTTCACATCATTGTTCATATTGGAAGAAGTCAAGACAGGAACAAAAACCAGGCAGGGAACTGGAAACAGGAGCTCCATCAGAGGCAGAAGTGCTGGCTACTGATTTGCTTCTCATGAACTGCTCTCCCTACTTTCTCATAGAACCCTGGACCACCACCTGCCCAGAAATGGTACCACTCATAATGGACTGGGTCCTCCCAGAATAATCACTAGTTAAGAAAATGCCCAGTAGGTTGGCCTATAACCTCATTTTACAGAGCCATTTTCTCATTTGATCTTCCCTCCTCTCCAATGAATCCAGCTTGTATCAAGTTGGCATAATACTAGCCAGCACAAGAATGGATACTTTTTTCAGCCACAAAAATGAAGTACATTATTTTCAGGACACAACTAGAAATAATACTATTGAGTGGAATCAGTTTGTCTCAGAATAGCAAATTATTGTAGGTTTTCACTTATTTGTAGTTTCAAGATTTCATATAAATAAAATCGTATATATACATATAATATCAAAGTCAAATCAAAACTCTCGAGAAATAAAGAGAAACAGTGATAGGGAAGGGGAGTAAGGAATGTGATGGTACCTGAGTACACAGGGGAAATGCTCAAAGTACTTTATATTCTTGTTAGAAAATGTCATAATGTGACTCTGTACAAAATTCATTGGAGAAAACAAACGTTTTATAAATCCTGAAAATCAAGTATATGTTCAATTATGTTAATCTTACTCCTTTTTCTTTTAAACAGTTTAAAGAATGGAAATTCCACCTCTTTGGAGTAGGGCTATTCCCCAAGCCTATAGATGCACAAAGAATAACCACAGTCCTTGGTCTTCAAGCATCTGTCATGATACATTTCAAAAATCCTACCCGTGAAGCTGTTTCCATTGATCTCATATTAACAAGTAGGTTCTTTTTCTTACATATTGTGGATGTCTATTTTTTTTATTTCATTGAACTATAAAAACATTTTATAAAATAGAAAGCATAAAAAATAAGAGGTAAAATGTGATTGCTGAAACACACCTCTTAAATGGTGGATCTAGAATCTATGTATCAAGTAGTCTTTTGATCTTATTTTTAAATCCACATATGAGTTAGTTAATACATAAGATTCTTATGATATTTTTTAAATATCTTAATTCTTATTATGCAAAAGTTTATAAAAATTCTAATGATACTGTTTAGGGGTTTTGGGATCTCCCAGACCAATAACTCATAAAGAAGTATCCCACACTTGGCACTGGGACTTTGTTTAACCCACTACAAGATAGTAGGTATTCCTCTAACATATTCTTCTCATCTCTCCCACCTCTCCACCCATCTCACTGCTTAAAGTTTCCCACCGCAGTTATTCATCCTCTCTTGTTTTCATATTGCCTATTTTCTACTATATCTCCTCCCTTAAGGACTTTTCTTCTCTGCATGCCACAACAACCAATGGCCTCTTTCTAGTTAGTTTCTTGGCTTCTGCAGTTACTCCAGGTTAAACACACCAAGCTAGGAGTTGCATTGTAGAAGCTGCTAATCATGGAAAGCATTTTTCATTTATCCAGATGCATTGAGAATTTTCAAAAGAAAATCTATGCTTCGTGCATTCATAAAATTTGATTTTACAACATTTTATTGGCTAATTCTAGAAGTATTTTGGGACATTATGTATATAATGAGAGATTAGATTAGAGTTGAGAAGCATAGTCCCAAAAAATTGAAACCAGTTCCAGTGGAAAAGTCTATGAACAAAGGTAGCAGGCAGTCAAGTGGTATATTCCTCAAAGGAAACTAAAATATAAACCCCCTAAAGTAATCATTAGATTCAATTTTAAACCTGAGAAAAGTAAGGGAAAGAAAGAGCCACCAATTTGTTTATGATCACTGAGCAATTAAGTAAAGGAATAGGAATGAAACCTAAGTATGCAAAGGCAAAGCCCCGCAGCAACTTTGTGCATAACTTCTCAGCAGGCTTGATTGAGGAAATGCTGAAGTAGCTGAACGGACTTAGAATCTTTCTTTTCTCTATGAACCCTGAAGTCTATTCATAAATTAAACTTAAGGAAGCCCGAATCTCTGTACTAGAAACATACTACATCTTCCACCAGCCGCACTTCAGAATTGTATTAAGTCAGCTTCACTCTTTGGGTATTTCACATATTCATAGCTTCAGGTGACAAAGAAATTTTCATCATGGTGTGTTGGAGATGTTAGTAAAAGCATTTCTTGTAACATTGCATGCCATTGTTTATACAATTTTGGGAAACTTTTTCAGGTATTTATGTCAGGAAGAAGCCTTTTTGACCTATTAGTGAATTGTACCTTATGAAGCCTGTTTTCACTTCATAGATTTTTCTATAAATTGGCTACTCCTAAAACATTTTAGGCTTACCCAGAATAGATGACTTGCCATTGCTTTATTTCATTCCTGAAGATTGGTTAAGTTCTTGGGGAAAAAATAAAACTTTATTATTCTTTTTAAATTTATTAACAGTTTATATTATAGTTTAATCCTTTCTACCCTTTCATTACTCTGTATCACCACCACCCATTCTTACAAAGCACCTTTTTTTCCACATCTCAACAATAATTCAAGTTCATCTTTTATTGTTTGTAACAGTGTGATCCCTTAAGAGTATCGTGACAGATGAAGGCATGAAGGAACATGGGAGCACCTCAAAAAATATTAATTTTATAGTGCTTTTTTTTTTTTTTTTTTTTTGGTTTTTCGAGACAGGGTTTCTCTGTGGCTTTGGAGCCTGCCCTGGAACTAGCTCTGTAGACCAGGCTGGTAATTAGTTAAGAAATGGAGAGAAGCCGTGGTGAGATAAAGAGTATGAGTTGGGAAATTAGAAATGAGTATGGGGCCTATGATACACATACTACTAATTTAAGGACACATTTCAAAACAATGTTGGTTTCCTTGCTCCTATGAATAATTCCAAACGTTCTCATTTATGAACTTCTTCACATCAGGATTTACTTTAATTGGCAGTATTATTCCTTCCAAAAAGTATTTTCATCTTGACATGGGTGTTGATAAACCAGGAGTTAAATATAGTTATCTACTATTGACCATCTATTATAACCTAAAAACTACTGGATATACATTTCAAAACTATCACATACATGGATAACAAATATACCAATACACAATATCTGATTTTCTAATGCATTTTGTTAGTGGAATTGCCATATAATTATGTATTTGAAAACTTGTATTGGTGAATGAAGCAATAATTGATGTGTAAAAACTAAGCATTTTCCTTATTTTCCTACTGCTATATTCTAGAGATTATAAAGTCTTTTTACTTTACCTAAATGTAAGTGCAATAGGGATTTTCTTAAAATCGTTGTATAAAATTAGACTCTGCTTCTGGCATCAGTAACTTATTAGAAACAATACAAAAAGTAAAGATGTGCATACTGATTAACATATTACTATCATAATTAACTTCCATTTTCAGCATTGATAAATGTAACTAATGTATGATGATGCAAATGTTGTCTCTGGAGACTCTCAGGATCATACCAAAACACATTCAAAGCTAAAGAAATATTTTTGTTAAGTATAATAATAATCACCATAGTTTGCTAGTAAGAAAAAATGACTTTACACAATAGAACAAAATATAGATATGGGAAGAATCCCCAGATCTTCAAATTTCATATATTTGAATAAATGAAAAATACTGTTACAAGATTTGAGATTTATGACTGGAAAATTGTTGCATCAAACAAAAGACCTTTGATATATCAATTTAAATGCATTATCTGTCTTTGATTTCTCAATGAAAAAGCTGTTTCAAATACTGTAAAGTCAAAATAGAATAATTGTTAAGGCTCAACTTTCTTACAAACACTTTTTTTAGTTACAGTTTACAATATTTACAGATATTTATTTTACCAATTATTTTGATTCATTAGTTCTGGTTAAGATCTTGTCATTATAGTCTATTCCAATGCAGATTGCCACACAGCTATACTTTTAGAAGACTGGTATTTATATAACAAACTCAAAGCATCTTTAAATCACTTCTATAATTAAATATTTCTCAGTATTCCCTTCCAAGTATGCATATTGACATTTACCAACTTATGCATCTATCCCATTTTATATGCAATTAGTATATGCTTCTTTACCTTGAGATTAATCTTACAATTAATGTCACATAAATGTTATATTGCGTATGTACATATGTATGTACATACCTACACATACATATGTACATATACACTCAGTATACATTAAGAGCTATAATCTATTTTTTGATGAATACATGATCTATATCTGTTGAGAACTTAAAGCTTCAATAATTTGTGAATCAATTTTTAAATATTTTGATGGTATGTAGAAAACTAATTGTAATGTGGAGTATGTTCTTCAAATATGTCTCTTAAATTTCATGTCAAAACATACTTTGAAACACACTCATCTAAGTTTTAAAAGGACTCAGTATAATTTCCATTTCCATAGAACTTTATCTTCTTGAGTATAATATCTCTTTGTTTCTTAATTAGATAAAGAAGAACCCAAGAATCTTGTAATTGACAATTGCTGGAATAGCTTCCTGCATGAGAATTCTGCCTTCCGATTTAGCTCCATGAGGCGTACACATGGTACAGGATTTCTTTTTTATATTCTGTCGTTCTGTGCACTACTGCATTTAAAAGATATTCTGTATGTAGATTTAACTTGTTTTTGAAAGCTTCAGTGTTCTAATATTATGCCAGTTAAAATAGGGTGTATTAGTAGGGAAAACTTTAGAAGATTAAAAATTTTTAAAGTACACATACTTACAAAATGATTACAACATTCCATAATGACTTATTGCAAACTCAATTCAAGGTGTAAGATTTTCCACATATTAATCACACCGATAGCTACAAAATATGAAGAAATTTTAAAAAATAATACATCATAAAAATCTAAAGTTTGGGCTGGTAATATAGATCTAGTAGTATGTACATGCCTACCCCATGTGAAGTCTGAGGTTTAATCCCCTGTGCCATAAACGAGTAAAAACCACTATATCTCAAGAATTATGAATTTGCCTAAAATAGTAGTTATTAAATGATAATAATCAAGTTTATGGTAATATGATAAATCTTATCTTTAAAAAATCAATTAATTGAAGTAAAAAATGACTACTAAAATCTCCCCACTGTGGGCTGATTATCTCCTTGTATTTATTTTAATCATCTGAATCAGCATCATTTTTAAAGCAAAGATGTCATTTATTAAGAAAATGAAAGCAGCTCCAATCAGAGGCATTAAACTAAGAGATGAGTGGAATAAAAAGATTAAAAATAGAATGGGTCAGTCAATAAAGTGTTTCCTGTGCAAGCAGAAGAAATCGAGTTCAATATCCAGAACCTGTGTAAAAGCCTGGTGTGGCGGCACACAGCTGTGATCCCTACAGTGGGTAGTTATAAGCATGCACAATCCAGGAACTTGCTGCCTGGCCAGCTTAATGAAATCCATGAACTTCTACTTCAATTAGAGAAGTTGTCTCACTAAATAAAATGGAGAGTGATTGAGGAAAGAAATACCTCATGTGAGAAGATGGTGTCCACTTACACATCCATACACATACTGTCACATAATTGTTGACACACACACAATGCACATATGATAGACACACACACAGACTTGAGGGGGAATACACTTGCAAGTAAAGAAAGCATGCTATTCCATAGAGTTCAGGCTTTTCAAGAGAGAACTGCCATATAGCTAGATCAGAAACTCAAATATAATGAATTATCTAATTTGAAACTATTATTAAATTATTATTATCTCATTGAATTCAGAAAAATGAGATTTGGAAAAAAAATTAAACAGCATTTTATTGCCTCTGAGTTAGAGTGTTTCTTTTCTTTTTGGGGAGTGTAGGGGGTTTGAGACATGGTTTCCTAGTGTAGACTTTGCCTTGCCTGTCCTGGAACTCACTCTATAAACAAGACTAACCTCTAACCTAGTTTGTGCTGTCTCATCCTCACTCACACTCTAACCAGGTTTTACTCTCTCCTACATGCCTTGAAGTATAGGCCCTGAACTCAAGCCAGGCTTTTTTTCTGTTCTATAGGCCTCGAGGTACAGGCCCTGAGATACTTTTGACCCAACACACACACACACACACACACACACACACACACACGTATGTATGTATGTATGTAATATATATTATATATATACACGCACACATTAAATTTTAATGTGCTTAAAATTGAGCACTTATCTACATTAAGATAATCAGGAAGAAATCGGGACAAAAATACTGAAGTATACTACACTAGCATTTAGAGAATTGGTATCTGGGTGAGGGTTTCATGAAATAAAAAACAATAAAAGACATTTAGAAATAGTAACAGTGGTAGCTGATGTATAGTTGAATTATTTGAGGGGAAATTTAATGTAATTTTGTACTCTGCTTTTCAGTTTAATTTTAAGAGTCTTGTAGGTTAAAATATGTTTAACAGTGTTTCTAAGGATACAACACTTTAATACAGTTCCTCATGTTTTGATGACCCCCACCCATAAAATTATTTCATTACTACTTTGTAGCTGTAATTTTGCTTCCATTATGAATTATAAATATCAGATAAGCAGGAATTCACAACCCACAGGTTAAGAACCATTGTTCTAAGCCATGTGTTAAAATCTGTCTGGTTCCTTCTTGACAACAAAATTCCTGTTTTATACTTTATAAACATTAGTTTCTTACAATGCTTGCTTTTGATTTAAAAAAAAAACAAGTGATTTGAAGTTTTTGATGCATGGAAAAGTTATCTTCAGTCTTAGAAGCAAATTAAAACATTCTCACTTGAAACATTTAAAGTAAAAATTACAGGACATACAGAATATGGTGTATAAGAGGAGTTGAAAACAAAAATCAACATGAATCTGTCAGATGTAATTAGAGCTCCATCTTGTATGTCAAAATTTCAATTACATCTGAACTGAATTCTTATGATTTTTTTTGTTTGGGTTTTGGGTGACAGCTTATGTATTTTTAGATCTAAAAGTAAGATCCAATGGATATAAGTTGTCATGTCTCCATAGCTCTGAAGGAAGTACGGACAGAAAAGAAGTTCTGTCAGTTCTGTGGATAATCAAAATGCATTCTTACAAAGGAGCGATATTTATGTTTTGGACTTATTTTTGTTATTTCACAGAAGGAAAATGAGAAATACACTTCACAAAAGCCTATCTTTAAGGATTTCCTTTCTTCCACCAGGCATAGCCATTCACAAGGTTCATGGCTGGACAGAACAAGGAAAGGCAGCTGTTGCATGTTTTCTCTTATATGTGGGTAGTAGACTTAAAACTTTGGGTTTCTATGTTTGACTCAGAGTACTCATAGAAATTGGGAAGCCAGAAAGGGGCTGGCTATAGGAAATAGATTTCAAGGGAATGTGAATAGAACTTGTGTGATGATGAGGAAATGGGGATAATGGAACAGTAGAGTTAAATGTGGTGGGTGATGGGAAGATGATGTAGAGTAGGAAATATCTTTTCAACTGCCATATGGAAACCCTATACTGTATAAGCTTCCTAAAGTATTTACACAGAGAGAGAGAGAGAGAGAGAGAGAGAGAGAGAGAGAGACAGACAGACAGAGAGAGAGAGACAGAGAGAGAGAGAGAGACAGAGACAGAGACAGAGAGAGATTACACAAAGTTACTACTATTAGGGAGCAGAGTGCAATTTCTTTTCCCGACAGCATAGGTTATCAAATAAAAACCCCAGTGTTCGTAATGAATACATCTTTTTGAGTTATGAGCCAATAGAGTTCCATAAAACACCCCCAAAACATTACAAGCTGTTTCCATTAATCTTGTTACTCTTTAGACTTGATGGTTAGACCCTATTGCTGAAGATATATACTTAAGTTTAAGAACATGGAGAAATAGCTGATACCAACCTGGAAACTTCATTTCTACTGGGTAATCTTCATAGTGTCAAAAAATTCTGTAAATATTAGAGTAATTAGTCTTACCAGGAAACTGACTTTATTTACTGAGTCGTATTTGAAATGAGTAGTTTTTAGAAAGTATCTCTATATAAATATCAGTATCATTGAATATGTTCTTCATTGCATATATTAGAATAAATTAGAAATAAAGTATTCAGCTATAAGGAAACAAGTAATTAAAAGAAAGACTGATATTTCTATAAATATATACACACTTCATGGGATTTGCACTTATGACATTCTCAGTATACACTGATTTAGATTATTCCTTTGTTAATTAGAAGGGGTTTTATAAACATAAAATAGTAATAGAAAAATTTCTTACTGTGCTAAGAATGTTTGAGAGCCTGTTACAGGGAAAGGAGACACTTGTTTGTCCCGGCCACCTAGCTAGCTTACACCCAAAATAATCACACAGAAACTGTATTTATTAAATACACTGCTTGGCCCATTAACTCTAATTTCTTATTAGCTAATTCTTATATCTTAATTTAACCCATTTCTATTAATCTGTATATCTTCACGTGGCAGTGGCTTACTGACAAAGATTCTAACTGGCATCTGTCTCAGGCAAAGGATCCATGGCTTCTCCCTGACTCTGCTTTCTTTTTCCCAGCATTAATCCAGTCTTTTGCCTACCTAAGTTCTGCCTAATCAACAGGTCAAGGCAGTTTCTTTACTCATTAATGTTAATCACAGTACACAGAGGAGACTCCCACATCAAGAGCCCAATAAAAAATATTGATGAAAGAAAACAATACAGTGATCAAACACCTGACACATTCTAACAGAGAACTCTGTACACAGTTTTAATGATATGCACATTGTACAAATTTGATAATTTTTGGAGAACATATTCACTCTCATTAAATCTGGTCCATACATCAATGATCTATTACAAATAGAAAGCTCATATAAGTTTTTTTTTAAGAAAAGGAAGAAGATAAGATACCTTTTAGTAAACTGTCCAAGTTTTTAGAGAAATTTTGGATAAAATACTTTTAACCAAATTGTCTCAATTATCTCATTTCTAAAATGATCAGTAATCATGCTTAATATCTGATGATTTATGCCAAGTAAATAAGAGATTGCATAGTTAATACTTAGTTCAGATATCGGATAAAAGAAATATTATTAACTATTAATCATAGCCTTAAAACATTTCCTGTATGGATGAAACTATTAATTAATGTAATCTAAGAATTTTGAATTGAACTGTTTTAAAGGTATTCAATTTCTCTTTTTATTCTTAATGGTTTTAACAGTTTAGTATAATTAATTAATTAATATAATATAATTTATTATAATTAATTAATTTAGTTTAATTAATTAGTATAACAGTTAGTATAATTATCCAGATTAAAAGTGCTTTGGTTCTTATCAGTTTTATAACAAGAATACTATTTAGAGTGCAGGAAATAAGTCCTTAGATGTAATAAAATAAAACTGCCCTGTTAAAAGTGCCCTGAAGGCTGTGTCACCATTGCACCAATCTCTTCATTTTGTTCAACAGTTGGAAGTATTTTTTTTTCAAATTTTGTCTCATAATACTGTGTTTCTTTTGCCATAATTTCTACTTAAACAGAGTTTTGCTTGAGTTGGGATTCAGCTAGCTCCATGTACAGCATGGTTTTTAAATAGTCCTTGGTAAAGCTAAAACTTTTCTAGTTAATCTGGAAACACAATATTTTAGAGGTTTTCTGACTTCTGACTCTCATAACTTGGGTATTTATTTAAAAAAAAAAGTTTGGATTTCATCGTGAATGAAAAAAAAATAGTGCCAGCAACATGAAGGCACCAAGCAAATATCTGGACACGAAGAGTCCAAGACTAGAATGTAGAAATAAAGGGTCCAGTCCAGGAAAATAGAAATGTAAAATTGTAAGCCCAAAGACATTTGAAAAAAAAAAACAGCTGGCAGTCAATGTTAACCTTTAACAAACAAACACTTTTTGCCTTAAGAGCAGACATCCTGGCATCCACTGTGTACAGAGGTAAACTCTTAACAGTTGTCTTCTGCCTCCCAGCTTTCTAGCTAGGCAGATACTGGGGACATAGGTTGGCTTCTAACTATTGCCTCTATGGGACCTTCTGCATGTATTCTCTTAATTTTTAACTGTGCCCCTATGTGACTCTACCGTCTGCCTAGCATTCTTTCAGGGACAGTAAAAACTGGTTGTGTCAGACTTTCACAAACATCCTGAGTTAACATCCTAATGTCCTATAACCAAAATTTGTATAACTTAAACTGTAATGTGACTTTCTTTAAGCCTGACCTCAAGGTTGTAAAAGCTCTTTGACTCGCACCTGGTGTTTGACTTTGCTATAAGAGAAGGCCCAAACCAGCCTTCCTTTCCACAATTTCAGAAGCCTAATCTCTGGCTGTGGTCACAGCTACAGCTGATAGATAAGCTTTGTGTCCCCCACGGTGATTTTTTTTTTTTCATTTCATTTTTTGCTTGAAGAAAGCTTGCTTCTGGTTTAATAGACTTTGTTGGTCTGTCGTCCATTGTTGCATGACCCTGGACCCAACATATATTCTGCTCTTAAACGCACAACAAACTGTGCTATTATAAAATGCCACAGTTTCTAGTCCATACGTGGGAAGATTTAGCAAAACTTATGAGTTTCCTTATTCTACAATCACTCTAAATAACCTTAGTCATCAATTTTAACAATTCTCAAGTTCAAAGCTTTTTGAGAAGCTTCTTATCTCAGAATAAAATGTATCTTTGAATAAGATTCATGAAATTTAGCAGAAAGATTTAGAAGCATTTATGATTTAACAGAATGTGGGGGGGGGGTTGTTTGTTTAGAAGGAACTTTGAAATACTAAAGGCCAGTATAAATATTAGGATATTACTTTCTGATATTAAGATTATGGTGTAAAATAAGAAAGAACATGTGGCATTTGTCTTTCTGGTCCTGAAATACCTGATTCAGTGTATTTTCCAGTTCCATCAACTCAACTGGAAATTTCATGATTTCATTTATCTTCTTAGGTAAATAGAATTCCACTATGTATATGTACATTTTTCTTATCCATTCATCATTAGTTGAAGGACATTTTGGTTGTTTTCATTTCTGGCTGTTGTGAATTGAGCAGTAATGAATAGAGCTAAGCAAGCATGTTACAACATTTGACATTATATTTTGTGTTTTACAGGAATTGTGGTGCCTCCTAAAGGAAGTTTAGATATCCCAGTGTTATTTATACCTACCACTATGACGTTATACAAAACAATGGTGATTGTTAAGGTGAAGAGAGCAAACAAAAAAAATTGGCTTATTGACAATTTTGATGAACTCAGTTTAGAAGCTAAGAGGTAACAGTTAGGATATAGAAAGTTAATAGTTTGTGTTTTTCCTAAACTTAATGTGCTAGGTTTCCTTAATGTGTGCTACATATTCAACATAATATTCAGTATTTTATATGATCTGAACAACTGCAACTCTTATGTCCAGAAAAATAAAATATGTGTGTTAAAGTTTACAGTAGTGGACAAAATGTATACAAAGGGAAAATAGTAACTAACTGCTAAAACAAAAAATAATAACTTGAAGACAACCTGCATCAGCAGCTTGTCTGACAGAAATAAAGAACTTGGCAAGAAAGGCACTCGCCAAGTGATGAAACACTGCTCTAACCAGGGCGTATCATTTCTTTATCATTGCCACAATGAACTTAACTCCTTTGCCTAGCTTAAAGTTAAGCATACTTCAGTAATAGTACAAAATTTAAATGTTTTCCCTGCCTTTATAGTTGGTTTGTCTAGAATCCCTAAATAAAATAGAAATCTTAGTTTACCATATATTCACATGTTTCTCCACATGACTTTACTATGACTCAGTTTTTATCCATTCTTTTAGGCATTTCACCATTTCTAGAGTCACAATTCATTATAACATGCACATATAAATAATCCCAGTGAAAAACTACAGAGAAAATAATCTTGTTTTAAAAAGTTATTGAGAATTATAGTGTAGTTATGGTGAAAAGCACAGAGCCATTTTGAAGGTGGTGTCCTAGGAAGCAGTTACACAAGTCACATGCACAACTGTTCAGTAGTTAATATTTTATTTTGCAAAAAAAAATCAATCTTCAGAAATAATCAGCCAACTTTTCTAAATTCTTTTCTCTACTAGTAGATGAGATGTATGCTCTCATTTTAACTGCTCTCACTTAAAATAGAAGTTTTCATTCCTTTGTGAAATCTGCGATTAAGAGCAGTTTTGTTTTTTTTTGCTGCATAATTTAGGATGTTACCCATATGAACTGTTTTACCTCTCACCCACCATTTAGTTACAGCAATAAATATGAATGTGCTCTTGAAATGTAGCTAACCAAAACTCCTGCATTTTAACTTACATGCCATGATGATTAAGTTTAGAATAATACTTCATTGCTCATGTTTATAACGTCAACAGCTTAAGAAAATGTTTTCTGTTCTGTAAATTTGTCTGCCAAAATATAATTGCAAAAGATTTATTAAAATAACTTCACATTAATAAAGAATACAGCATTTTTCTTTTGCATTTTTTTTGAAATTATAATATACTTTCGTTTCCCTTTTCTTTTATTTATTTATTTATTAAAGATTTCTGTCTCTTCCCCGCCGCCGCCTCCCCTTTCCCTCCCCCTCCACCAATCAAGTCCCCCTCCCTCGTCAGCCCAAAGAGCAATCAGGGTTCCCTGCCCTGTGGGAAGTCCAAGGACCACCCACCTCCATCCAGGTCTAGTAAGGTGAGCATCCAAACTGCCAAAACCAATACGTGCAGTAGGATCAAAAACCCATTGCCATTGTTCTTGAGGTCTCAGTAGCCCTCATTGTCCGCTATGTTCAGCGAGACCGGTTTTATCCCAGGCTTTTTCAGACCCAGGCCAGCTGGCCTTGGTGAGTTCCCGATAGAACATCCCCATTGTCTCAGTGTGTGGGTGCACCCCTCGCGGTCCTGAGTTCCTTGCTCGTGCTCTCTCTCCTTCTGCTCCTGATTTGGACCTTGAGATTTCAGTCCGGTGCTCCAATGTGGGTCTCTGTCTCACACTGGAGCACCGGACAGAAATCGTTTTCCTTTTCTCACGGAAAACTCCTTCGTACCCCACCTTGCTCTCTTTCATATTTATGACCTCTTTTTTCATTAATTGCTGCTACATATATATGAATATGTAATAATAATTATATATAAAGCATAATAAGCATTCTTTACTAATAGTACAAAATTTAAATGTATGTATATATAATTATTACTTCCTAAGTCTACATTGGTAGTATTTCTATTTTGTGTTAACTCTCCTTATTTTACTTTGTAAATAGTTGTATTGGAGTAGATCGTGGGGAAATTCAAGCAATACATTGGATGTACCCTATCATTGGACTTCCACAGGCACCACCCCCTAAAAGTACTGCAGGTAAGTGTATTTTACACAGGAGAGAAAAAACACAGAATTCCAAGAGGCTGCAACCATCCCTTAACCCATATGTGCAGATGCAGGCCCTAGTGGTGAGAATGCTATGACATTACTTTCTCACCAGTAGCTCTGATAAACTATGTGTCTTGAGCACCTACCATAAGTAATTCTGGTGGAGTTTTCAAAGACTTGAAATTCCACTCTTTGATTATCCTTACCAGTTATTGAAAATGAAAGAATTAGGCATCATTCCAAATATACTAAATTATTTTCAAAATGTTTCAAATATATGATAAAATGTCTTATATTAATTATGTGTTTTCCATAGTGCTACATGTACTATATTAAAAACTAGATATTAAACTGTAGGTATTCTGATAATGTTGTTTGGGTCTTCCTATTACAGACAATCCTGTTTTTTCATTATTAAACATTTTAATAAAAATTTAAAAACAAAAACCTTTGCATTTTTTAAAAAGCCTTTCTAATGTATTTCCTCCAGAGAAAATCAAATACACGTCACATAGTTTTTCTATTACTGAGGATCTTTTGGTAATTACTTGCCTTTTAAATTATGAATATTTTAACTAGCATATGTCAGATTAAGACAAAATAGCAATAATGTAAGTGTTCTGAAGTAAATTAGGTATTTGGTATTAAACCGTTGTAGCACAGGTCTAAAGTTCTACTGGCTGTTAAGTTTTGTAGGACTCCTTTTGAAAAGTAAGTGAGTAAAATTTTATGCACATATATTTCTGTGTTTTAGAAAGTCTGCTTTACATTTTTGTCTTCAGAGCATTCCAGAGGTAACTCGCTGCTTTCTGTTCAGCTACAGGAGGGCCAAAGCCTGTTATTCCTTGTTAATGTAATATTCATATTATTTGAAAACCCAGGAGAATTTTGTTGTTCCATAAGCTACCAATTCATTTTGTGACTTATCTTTTTACTGTCCACTGTGGCAGAAAATTGGAAAACATTTCCACTACATGTTATAACACAATAAGAAATTAATCCAGATCATTAATGACTTAAAGACTTACCAGTGAAGACTGGTAACATTACACCAATTGTAAATTGAACCCATTATCGTCAAACTTAATACCTTAAGGCTGAACTTAATTATAACTAAGAAAATTTGTACATTTTACCAAACTATGTCATTCCTTTAGCTTAGCTCTAATTTTGTACAGTTATTTTTATTTTATATACTATATTTTTATAAATATATAATTATAAAATATAAAATTAACTTTGTAATGCTAATGGAATATAATAAATATTGTGAAAATATGTCAGAGAATATCAGTTAATTTTTATGTGATAAGACCATATTACTGTTGAATCTAAAAAAATGTACTATAATGTTCTTCAAACATTTTAAAATATAGGTTTCAATGTTTCACTTATATTCAGTGTATAATTTGTGTGGAGTAGAAGTTTACCAGTACATTTTGGGAAAGTATTTGTGTATATTTGAGCTTCCATATACATTGCTCCATAGTATTATAGAGCTACTATCAAATATCAGTTGTTCTTTATATGGTTAGTTATTATATATACAAACATTTTATTATAATATCAGTGATAATTTGTACATTTGATGTCATAAATATTTGCATGTAATACATATTAAACATACTACAGAGGGATCATGGATGCTATGAATTAACATTAATACATCACATTTAAGTTTAATATTAAGTCATTGTATGTAGTCTTATGTATAACCACTAACATGATAGATTTTACAAACTTGAAATTTAAAAATCTTTGTATGAATTTTAAAGTACATGTAAAAAGCCAAATAGATGTACTTTAAATGTTATTACAAAGTAAAGGTTATTGTACTTATATTTTAATTACTTGAAGGCATACATTTTACTGTTATTATAAAACTAGATCTGAAAGTATTATAGTAAATGTGTAGATTTGTAAAAAGTAGTTCATGACCAAAGTTGCGAGTCAGTTGAAGTAATGATATGAGCATCTAAGTTCCAGAAACAAATTTCTACATCCTAATATAGTCTCTAATCATCTAATGTGTATGTGTGTGTGTGCATGTGTGTGTATGTATATACATATATATTTCATATTTGACTTTTGGATTCTGTGCTAGAATGAATGTAATTGGCCTCTATAAGCTCATAGGAATTGGTGCTGTTAAGAGGTGTGGCCTTATTGGAGGAAGTGTGTCACTGTGGGCTTTGAGGTCTCCTCTGCTAGAGCTATGCTCAGTGTAGACACAGTTCACTTCTTGTTGCCTATGGATCAAGATGTAGAACTCTCAGCTCCTTCTCCAGTACCATGTCTGTCTGCACACTGCCTTGCTTCATGCCATGACGTTAGTGCACAAAACCTCTGGAAATGTAAGCTTCAATTAAATGTTTCCCTTCATATGAGTTGCTGTGGTCATGGTGTTTCTTCACAACAGTAGAAACCCTAAGACAGATACTATTTTACGTATTATTTAATGTTGATGTTTATGTAAAACAATATATAAATACATCGATCTATTATATGAGTGTGTGCCTTATGCAATGCCAAATTAAATTATGTTTAATAAAGTTATATTTTCACAAGTTTATTTTATCACAATAATAATAATGTTACCTAAATATTGAATTAACTAAAAACATAAAATAAAAAATTAAAAAAAATTTCTCCTACAGTTGTCATAAAATGTCAGGCCAACAAGCGGGTAGAAGAGAAAGTGGAAGTGACAATGATTGGTAACTTTTTTGGACACCATCCATCACATGACAAGATAGACTTCGTAGTTTTTCCAAAGAGAAATTCGATTAACAGTATTTATGAAGACGTTAATGGTAAGAGAATTATAATCATGGTTATAATAATTAACTATAGTAAATAAAAATTCATTTACTTTAAAATGTATGCTGCTGATTGCTTAGTAATTAAGATCCATTTACTTTTCATTTGCAATGAAACATTCAAGTACTCAAGAATTCTGTTAAATTCGTTGTCTTTACATAGCAGTAAGTAGTAATAGTAGTTATGGTTAAAAGATTGATTTGTATGACACGAATGGTAAATCTCTCAACTTCAGTTATTATAATTTCCACTTGAACTTAACTTCTATATCTTTCTCTATTTTTCTCAGTGTGTGTGTGTGTGTGTGTGTGTGTGACTTTGAGGATTTATCCCAGGATTTCATACATGATATGCAAGTACTCTGCCACTGAGCCAAACAATGAGTCTCTTCTAGGTTCACAAATTGTTACTGAAGACATATAACATTTTTAAACAAATTTGAATGAGTGCTTCTTACTTTAAAAAAATGGAAAAATTAACATGAATCAAATGTAATACTTAAATCATTTTCGAAATAGTGAATTTTGTTGCACATATTAAATTTGTATTTTATATTTTCTTACAAATTAAAATAATTGAATGCATGTTTTGAATAGAGAATTATAAATTTCAAAATCCAAACTCTGAAGCCAAAATAATACATACCTGGCCTAATATAACAAGTTATCACAGCAAAATACATAATCAACAGGGAGAAAATTAATTAATAGTTAAGTCTGCATATATTCATCAGATATTACACATGTAAAGTATTTTTTCATAATTAGTGTTGGATATCAATTTTTGTCAAGTTTGCCTTAATCTGTAAGCTGAAATTGTAAGGAATTAAAGATGTTGATAATTGTATTCTATATTGTAATATTTATTCATGTTTTTTATTTTAATAAAATTGCTCATAGTATTATATTTCCGGTATTATAGTACACATTATGAAAATAAAGCAGGATAAAATTTACATCTTCTTTTTTCTATAAACCTGTTTAGAAATAATGTTGACACATAAATTGATGTTCAGTTTATGTATAACAAGCTAAATTGATACATACTTTCATTTTCATTTTTCTAGTAACTCCTAAAAGGCGTGAATTTGAATATGAGATAGAATTTGAGACTGAAGAATTGAAGAGTAGCCTGGAATCCTCTGTAACTTTATATTTGTATAGGAAACATTTTAATGCAAAACAGCAAATAATTTCATTGATTTTCAATGTGATATTTACACCAAACAAACCATGCCGGTAAACACAATTCCTTCTCTTTTAAATATGGTATTGCAATGCATTTATTTCAAAATGTTATTTTTACTGCCTGTCAATGTTTGGATTACATTATTTCTTTAATACTATGCATAAACATTTGGAGCAATATCATTTCCAGCTAATAGGCTGTGAAAATGATTCTAATGAAAAAAATATATAGTTCATTGAACTAGAGCCAGAATGTACCTATAATTTACTAAGTATACTAATAGTTTATGTCGGTTACAGAAAATCTGCGGTCAGTTTTGCAATAATTACTGTATTTTTGAGCTAAATACAGAATACGTAAGAATTCTCACAGAATAATTAACTCAAAAGGCACAATGACACTGAAAATTAATAACTACAAAATTATTCACAAAATAGAAATAGCAGTCATCTAGGGTTTTAAAAATGAAATACAAAGCCTCTTATGCTAAGCCAAAGAGGTACTTTCATTCTTACTTTAGATATGAAATTAATATAATCTCTTGTCTTACTGTTGTGTTTTTATTTTTATGTGTATGTCTGTTTGTGTGTGTTCAAGGACTCATATCATATTGAAAGTTGAGTGCATAACAGATGGAATCTGGAAATTTCCTATAACGTTGATTGCTACTGAACCTGAAGTGAAGGATGTAATTGACATCCAAGGAGTCGGTTTATTCAATACAGCTGTCACAGAATTTAGACTGACAAGTCAGACAAGGTATTATATATCAACAATATGTATATATATACATACAAGTTATATACATATAACTTGTTTCGTGAATATAATTAATACTGAAAGATAAAACAAAATTTAAGATAGACATGGTTTTCAGTGTCTCCCATTTTACATTTAATTTTATTATTAGATTAATTTGAGTCTGCTTTCTCTCATTTTGTTTATTTGGTTAAGAATTTGTCAATCTCGTTTATTGTTAACAAATCAACTCTTTGATCCATTGGTTCTTTGCATTCTTTTTATTTCCATTTTAACTCCTGTGCTGATATCTATTAGTTCTTAACCACCTACTAAATTTTGGTTTTACTTGTTCTTATTTTACTAAGAGCTTGAGGTGCAGTATTTTGTAGAGCTCAATGATTATTTTTATTACATATATTTATTTATTGGATGAGGGCATGTGTGTCATGATATGTATGTGAAAGTCCAAGGACAACTTGCAAGAGTTTATTCTCTCTTGAACTGCAGTTATATGCTTTTTATGAAATTGGTAGTGCCAATCTTTCTGGATTCTCTTCCATGGGATTCCTTGTACTCTGAGTCAAGATTTGATGGAGACTTTAAACTTAGATTCTCTCTCCCTGGATAATGTCTAGTTGTGGGTCTCTGTATCTGTTCCCATATATTAATGGAGGAAGCCTCCCTGATGATGACTGGTTAAGGAACTGCCCTATGAGTAAAGCCAATTATTTTTAAGAATCAAATCTTTTAATGATTTTTTTAGACCATTCATGTTTGATTTTACCCTAGGTCTCTGGGCATTCTGGTCTCAGCTTCTTGGTTACCCAGGTAGTGGCAGGTATAGATTCCTTCTCATGGAGTAAACCTTAAGTCATATCGGACATTGATTGTCTACTCCCACAAATACTTTGCCACTATTTCCCTAGCATGTTTTGCAGGAGAATGGATTGTAGGTAACAAGGTTTTAGTGGCTGAGTAGATGTCCAAGTTTCTCTTTCTGTAGTCTGCAGAGATACCCTCCTGTACCAAAGACACTAGAATATAGAGGCGAAGGCTTCAGGTGGGTTCCAGCTCAACTTCTCCATGAGTTTTATGGGTGTTATCATACAATGTAGTCCTGATGTCATTTTGCAGAGAGCAACCCTTTGTCTTAGCAGTAGCTTGGGTTGTTTGGGGATTTCAGTGGGACCCCCTTGGCCAACAACTCAATTAAGTGAAGCCCAGTCTATATTTGAAGCCTTGCCTGTCTATAAGAGATAGCCAGTTTAGACTCCTGTCTCCCCCATTGCTACAAGTCCTTATGGTAGGATAAAGTGTCCTTTGGGTATATGCCCAAAAGTGGTATAGCTGGATCTTGAGGTAGAGGTATATCCAATCTTTTGAGAAAATGCCATATTGATTTTCATAGTGTCTATACAAGTTTATGCTCCCACCATCAATGGAGGAGTGTTCCCCTTGCTCCATAGCCTCACCAGGATGAGCTATCACTTGTGTTTTTGACCTTAGCCATTCTGACAGTTGTAAGACAAAATCTCAACATCATTTTGATCTGTAAAAATGGTTTGTTGCAAATATTAGGAAATTGCATGTTTCCTGGGACGACTCATCCCTGTCTGTAGTGGTTTAAATAGCTGTGGCCTAATGGAGTAGGAAACAGGAATTCCCAAGGTATCTTTTGTCATCCACACATGCTCTTTGGCACACATGCACACACATACACATATGTATTCACATATATACTCACATATGTACATATGTGCATACACACAAAAATTTAAAAAAATAATAAAAATGTATGTATTAAATGGTGGTAGCATACACTAGTGAAACAATCTGGCTGAAATAATCTCCCTGTTATTTAAAAGTCTGGTTATAGTTTCAATTTCTTTGTCAATTGTAGAGATTGTTTTCCCAGAGTACTTGCCATTTGCTCCTAAGCTTTCTTTTAATCTAGGCTTATAATTGTTCTAACTAGATGATCATTTTTATTTCTAAAGTGTCTCTTATCTTCTAACCTTCAGGTTTGTTTGTTTTAAACATCTTTCTTTTTAATGTTGTCTATATTTCTGTTGATTTGGTTGAACTTTGTTAAAACAACTCATAATTTTACTGTTTTTATGTTTCTTTCATTTGCATTTACTGTAACTTATATCTTTTTTCTGATGACTCTTGATGAAGTTTGTTTTTCCTATATTTTGTGGAGGTATAATATAAGATATGGTTACTTGGGAAAGAGTTTTAAAAATGCTTGATGCTCTTGATACTAGCTTTTCTTTCAATGGCAGGTAGCACTCATCTGAGAAGGCATCTAATAGTTTAATTTTCTTCACAGAATAGTTTTAAATTACTACTAAAATCATTTTTACAAACATATTTCACCAGTCCATTAATAGGTTTTATTTTTCTAAGAATTTGTGAATTTCCTTCTTAATTTTCAAATTTTCTTAATTATAATTACATGCAATCAATTATTGTGTTTATTTTATTTTCTGAGACATCCATTAGAGTGTTTATCTACTTTAATTTCTTTCTTACTTTGGTTTTTCACTTTTTTTACAGTCTTTGGGATGGATGTATAATAGCTCAATTGACAGAGAGCATGCCTAGTACACAGGAAGCCTAAAGATATTTTTTTCTAATCCCAACACTGCATGAACTGAGCATAGTGTTACATTCTTTTAACCTCAGTACTCTGGGAGAACAGGAAGCATGTTCAGAGTTTGAAAGTCATCCTCTGTTCCATAGGGAGTTTGGGGCCAGCCTATGATACAAGAGACCCTGCCACCAAAAAAAAAAAAAAAAAAAAAAAATTCTTAAAAGAAGGTTGTAGCCAAACACAGCAATATACTCCTGTAACCCCAGCTTCTTTCTTTGTTCCTCACAAAGAAAATTCTTCCTTTTATTGTGACATTTATTATGTCTGAATTGATGTCTCTCAGAAGAAGGGAGATTTATGGATTTCTTTGAATATCTGTCTGTTGTCTTCCTAATCCTTCTAGATACTGTGTTGTTCAGCCTATTTATTGTATCATCCATCATTTCCTCGCACTGATTATAAAATATATTAAAACCGCAATGATAATGATGATTAATATTGGCTAATCCTTTCAAACTACTTTCCTTGTGTTACTCATTCACTCTTTTTATTATTTTAAGAAATAACAAAACTAGGGTACAAAAAGATTAAGTTCCTGAAATGTAACATAGAGCTATGATTCCAATCCAGGCCACCCATATCTACAGAACATGTTCTCCGGTCTTCCACCATGATACTTAATACATGTTTCTTTTTTTGTTTGTTTGTTTTTTTTTTGTTTGTTTGTTTTTCGAGACAGGGTTTCTCTGTGTAGCTTTGGAGCCTGTCCTGGAACTAGCTCTTGTAGACCAGGCTGGTCTCGAACTCACAGAGATCCGCCTGCCTCTGCCTCCCAAGTGCTGGGATTAAAGGCGTGTGCCACCACCGCCCGGCTAATACATGTTTCTTGAACATATCAGTGAATAACAACCTAAGTTTTCCCATGTCTTTTTCTATGCTGCACTGCTGTACCTGTTTTTCAAAGCCACATTTGATCTTTTACATTCATCTCTATTAATTTATTTTAAATTTTGAACTTAAAACTTTTTGTAGTTTATCACCACCTAGTTTTATTAAACTAAGAATTTCCTTAATTTACTCAACAGTCTGTTTCTCAATTGTAGTCTATCCTGCCATGAAATGGCAACTTGAAACATGTCACTGCACTTTATACTTTAATAATCTATCTTCATACCTTTAAATCTTTAGTTAGACTCTAGAAATTTCTAGCAAATAGAAAGCTACTGTAAATAAATAAGTAATATAATGGAACAGCAGTAGAGACAAAAAACTTTATAATAGCTTTAGTGGACAATTGCTTTACATATGAGTGTATTTACAAATGGCTAAGTTTGCATCTGACGAACTGAATTCAGCCTATTTTTATAGAGCCAATATTTATATTAGTGTTCTATGAACATAGAATATAAATGAAAAAATTTAGGATCTTATTTTGCCACCATGAGAAAAGAATGATAGTGTACTTGTTAATTTTTGTCAGCTTGACACCAACTATAGATAAACATCAGCTGAGAAATCCCCTCAACCAGATTGGTCTGTGAGCTTGTCTGTTAGACATTGCCTTGACTGATGATTAATGTAAGAGGGCTAAGCCCAGTATGGGTGGCCCCAACACCAGGAAGATGGTCCTGGGTTCTGTATGAAAGCTAAGTATCGAGGGAAACAACCCAGTAAGCAGTGTTTCTCTGGCTCCTGATTGAGATCTTGCCCTGATGTGTCTCAGTGATAGACAATGATTGCAAAGTGTATGCCAAATAAACTTTTCTTTACTAAGTTATTTTGATCAAGGTGTTTTATCACAGCAAAAGAAAGTAAACTAGTACAGACATAATTTGGTAATTTTCAAATGTCACCTCACACATTTTTTTGTAACCATTCAGTATTAATTTTGAGCTATGGGTCTGTTGGAGCAGAATTTATGATTTAGCTGTCAATTTCTCACAGAGTCAATGAGGTAATGACCAATTTAATGGATTTTATTCATTTTTTTCTAGGTATTATGAGTCATTTACGGCCCATTTTCTACCAGGTGGTGATCGAGATTTTTTTGTAAATCCTCAGTCTGGAGAACTCCCTCCGTTTTACACAAAAGGAATTCTCATCATTGTAGGATTTAAACCGAAAATGTACAGTAAGAAATATCAAGCAACACTTGTAATACAGGTAAGTTTAAAAAAAAAACACAACTTTTAATTTTCAAAGCCACACATTAGGTATGGAATTAAGCAAAATGATTTAACACTAGGAGAAATTAAGTAATTACTTACAGTTCATATTATTAAAATATGGGAGACTAAATGTAAGATGATTTGTTTAGTAACGTAGCATCTTCTTTTTTACAAAGTACTTAAAATACTCACTGACTTTATATTATTTAAAACATACCTTTTGTAAACATTGTTTAAAACATATTGTCAAAATGTTAATGTAAAATAGAAAGTCACTTTTTAATTAAAAATGTTTTCTAAATTAGGTCATTTCTGTAGAAGATAAAGTGTTTGTTTAGCTCAGAGTTGAAGTAAATACAGCTTTGAAAACGTATCCTATAAGGGAAGTGTCTTTATAGAATTTCATACATAATTTATAGGGAGAAATTTTGGGCTAAAGGCAACGTTCAAATTCTTTGAAATAGATAACTATTATTACAGTTTACTTTCTGAAATATAGACATAAAGTACATGTCATCATTTTATAACCCTACAATTCCTGCTGCCAAAGAGATCCCTAAAGGTTTGAATCAAATGGCAGTTAATCAATCACTGCCATTAACAGAAGAAAATGTTACTATTTTAATGAATACTAATGAAAATATAGTTATTGTTTTGAGACAGTTATTTTTCCATTGTTCTTAGATTTTATAGAATCTAAGATATCAGAAATATGCATATTCCTATTGCCCCACTATTATTTCATTACATATATCAAATCACTGATCTGAAAAATCATAGTTAATACACTGACTCCAAGTCCCAGTTTATTTCAATAACTTTTATACTTACTCTCATGTTGCAGTTCAAAAAGTCAAGTCATTATCTAAATTAAAATTATTATTTATCCTATGGTCATTTTCAAATATTTAGGTTAAGCCGGGCGGTGGTGTCGCATGCCTTTAATCCCAGCACTTAGGAGGCAGAGGCAGGCGGATTTCCTTGAGTTCGAGGCCAGCCTGGTCTACAAGAGCTAGTTTCAGTACAGCTAGGACTGTAACACAGAGAAACCCTGTCTCAAAAAAAAATAGGTTAAGTATTAAATCAGTAGTTACAACAATATTGTCTTCATTCTACTTCATTCAGAAATAGGAATAATTTAAAAGAATAGTTTTAGTTAATCTTGCCTAGACAAACCTCAGCAATCATGTTCTCATGCTTGTAATTTTTCATTCAACTAAGACATCTTTAGAATGATTAAAACATATTGTTTTCCAATCAGGAAACAGGACAAATAGCATTAGCTTTGATAGGAGGAAGTTAAGTTGTTCCATTTATTTTATCAAAAGTAGTGATCCTGAGGAGTAGAAAATCTAATCAGTTTTCTCAAGTGACTATGAAAAAAAAACTTGGTGAATACTGGAGCTGGCAGATGGCTCAACTGGTAAAATATATGTTATGCAAACATGACGAACTGAGGTTGTAGCCCCAGAAGGCTCAGGATTTATGACTGTGACATATACCTGCAGCCCCACTGTAAAAATGAGCACTAGAGCTCCTTCGCCAGTCAGCCTAATCTAATCACTGGGTTCTAGATTCATTGAGCAATCCTGGCTCATTAAATAAGGTAGAGTAGGTGCAAGCAGTGATGATATTTGATGCCAGTCTCTGGCTTCCACATACATGTACACACAAGCACAGGTATCTGCACACATGTGCACATATTTACATACATACTACACAAACTCAAAATGCCCTGATAACTATCGTAACTATATAACATGAAATATACGATGTATTATGGTTTTCTGTTATAACTATAGACACAAACAAATATAAATATATATTTTATATTACTTCTAAAGAAATCTTTTTATTAGCAGGAAACAATAGGAAATGACATTGCAAATAGGTATTTTCTTTTGTGTTTCATTGGAAGAAGATCCTTGAATGAGAATTTAAATTTAAGTAGCCTATGTGTTACATGATAAGAGGAAATAAATACAGGAAAGGAAGTACTTGAAATACAGAAGGAAAGGAGATCAATAAAAATCATTCACCACAATGAGAAACTGAAAATTGATCCCATGAGGGATCTTGAGGAAATAATGTAGAATTTACACCTTGAAAAATTCATAACCAAGATGGGCAGGATTATTGATGTTTTACATACCACTTTACACCATTCCAATTATTGCCTGAGGATTGAACTCAGAGATGGTTAAGGATTCAATGCCAGCTGAAACACCTGGAGTTTCTGGGGAGGAAAAATCGAAGAGTTGCAAACACTAGCTATTGGAAATAGCATCAGACTTTCATTCAAATGAAAACACCAGAGAAGTGTAGGTGGCCATAGACCATATATGTTAGTGGATGACTACCAATTTTTTTCTGGATTATGTATATTATTATGTTTTCTTTGACTTTTTTCTTCTTTTTTAATTAATTTATTTATTTATTGAAGATTTCTGTCTCTTCCCCGCCACTGCCTCCCATTTCCCTTCCCCTCCCCCAAAAAAGTCCCCCTCCCTTGTCAGCCCAAAGATCAATCAGGGTTAGAAATTGCCCTTAGCAGCATCTGTCATTCATCCAGGAGGACCGTTGTCTTCAGTTTCTTTTCAAAGCAGTGACATTAAAATATGAGAATTTCATCTTTTTAAAACGTTTTTCTTTTTGTTTGGTTTTTAGTAAATAGTCCAGAGAGCTACTGTGTTTGATAGGTTCCTTTTTTTTTAAGTATTGATGCTTATGTCATAGGTATTAATGATATAGAGCTCTTAATTTATTCCTGGCTGGTGACATGTTTCAGTGGGAAGTGGTGCTTACTGCCAATACTGATTGAAGACCTGAGTTCAATCCCTTCCCTGCAACCCACATGACATTCAGGAGAAACCTTATTTTCACAAATTGTCCTCAGATTCCCACATGCACACAGCAGTGCTTGAGCACACATGAGCAAGCATGTATGCAGTGCACACACACATACTAAGTAAATCAATAATAGATGTAATACTTTATTCTTTTGGTATTTTTAATCCTGTCTTATTATATTTTAAGATAAGGTTTTGATAGAAGTTATAGATCATACTATACATATAAAATACTTTTTAAAATACATGATTTTTCATATTTATATTTTGTTTGAAGAAATATAATCAGTTAAAACTATAACAGGGCAGGGAACCCTGATTGCTCTTCGGGCTGACGAGGGAGGGGGACTAGATTGGGGGAGGGGGAGGATAATGGGAGGTGGTGGCGGGGACGAGGCAGAAATCTTTAATAAATAAATAAACTAACAAAACTATAAATCTTACTATTTATTTTGTAAAAATAACCTTGTTATTTTTATTTAGCTTGTTTGGAGAAATGTCCTGAACACCTTCCTTAAATCATACATAAACATACTGACGTAATCATTGTGAAGTTATTACAATCGTCATTGAAGTATATGAAATCTAATTGTGACTTTAACAATAATGTATTTTTATGTTATCAGTTCATCTTGAATAAACATGGTTGGTAATGCTACAAGTGTCAGGTAGCTGCTATTTGTTCTCACTAGGTGCTAGGGGTGGGGATAGATCCCTTCATGTAGCTCACCTGCATGCTGGCATGAAGCTCAATGACTAGTACCCAGTTCTAGGCAGGGGCTGGAATTTTCATTTAGCATACTCCTTTGTATCCATGAAGTCATTTATTTGTACTGTAATAAAAATGTTTAGAATGGCATATGCATACCCTTCAAAATCTAGCTTTATTCAAAAGATTTCACACACACCCTATGAAGTGCTAGAATATTGAGCTTAAATTGTATTTTGCTCCTAGGTTTCTTTAACATTTGAATCATTGACTCTAGATGTATAAATACTACAGATATCAGATAAAGGGCCATATGAGATTAAAATAAGGTCATGTTTGATGTGAAATGTGTGCACCAACTCAGTATCCATTTGTAGATGCTGCAATACACATCTAAACTGGTTTATTGCAATATTCACTTGGCTTGGAGACTTTAAAATAATTTTTGTAGTATGCATGGTCCAACCCCAGTGTAAGGCTAAAGCCTATATAAGAACAAATGGCTTCAGCAAATACTGCAGAAGCAGTGGACTTAACTGAAGTATAGTAATATCTGAATATAAACTGAAAATTCTAGTATACGTTACAAACTATGTCTATTTACAGAAAAAAATGGGTTTTCAAATATAATTCCTCTATAAATTATATTACCTGGATTTAGATTATAAATGTCTTCAATGATCTTATAACTCTCAGTATGTTTTTAATGTTTGATACTTTTATAATCCAAAAATCATCTTTCTGTAATTTGCCAATTATTTCTGTGACCAAAGTAAAGTATTCATTTAGAAGTATACCTTGGAAGACCTTGTTTACCTACATAGCATATTTTTAGCTAAGAGATTTTCTTGCCAGTGACTGTTCCTTTATTCATAAAGCCAATGGCTTTACTTAATTTATGTCCACATTAAGTATTTTTCATTATAAATGCAACCTTACATTTTTGCCTTTTCTATACCACATACAACAAATAGAAACTACTACTAATAATAAATGTTTCCCTAACTTTTCTAGGTCTCTGGATATTACTTATAATGTCTCACCATTTCTTAATTTTCAGACAGATGAAACATACTGGCTGTATGAAATAAATGGGTTACCTCCATTACCAAAATCAATGGCACATGTAAAAGCCAAAATTGATGCTAATAACAAGACATATGACAGCATGCCACCAATTCGTCACAATTTTATTCGTGAAAATGCTAAACTTCGAAGCACAGCAGTATCTTCTACTATTAAAGGTGCTCCTTTAGTTAAAAAGCAAAAATAAAAAAAAATTAAACATTCCTTAGTCTCAAGTATAATTGAATGTTTTGGTTTTTTATCTCTTTTTGAGGGATAATCATAATACCCTTTTTGGGCTTTGTTGCTTTTTTTAATTGCTGGATTTTTATATTCTTTTTTTTATTATTAAAAATTTCTGCGTCCTCCCTGCCTCCCTTTTCCCTCCCCCTTTCCCCATTCCCTACCCCCCACTCCCCTCCCACTCCCTCTCCAGTCCAAAGAGCAGTCAGGGTTCCCTGCCCTGTGGGAAGTACAAGGTCCTCCCCCCTCCATCCAGGTCTAGGAAGGTGAGCATCCAAACAGACTAGGCTCCCACAAAGCCAGTATATGCAGCAGGATCAAAACCCAGTGCCATTGTCCTTGGCATCTCAACAGCCCTCATTGTCCGACATGTTCAGAGTCCAGTTTTATCCCATGCTTTTTCAGTCTCAGTCCAGCTGGCCTTGGTGAGCTCCCAATAGATCAGCCCCACCGTATCGGTGGGTGCACCCCTCACGGTCCTGACATCCTTGCTCATGTTCTCCTTCCTCTGTTCTTCATTTGGACCTTGGGAGCTCAGTCCAGTGCTCCAATGTGGGTCTCTGTCTCTATCTCCATTCATCGCCAGATGAAGGTTCTATGGTGATATGCAAGATATTCATTAGGATGGCTATAGGATCGGGCCATTTCAGGCTCTCTCTCCTCAGCTGCCCAAGGACCTAGATGGGGACATCTCTCTGGATGCCTGGGAACCCCTCTTGAGTCAAGGCTCTTGCCAACCCTAAGATGGCTCCCTTAATTAAGATATATGCTTCCCTGCTCCCATATCCACCATTCCTTTATCCCAAACATCCCATTCCCCCAAGCTCTCCCCATCCTCCCTTTTCTCACATTTCTCTCCCCATCTCTCCTTTCCCCCATCCCACCCCACCCCCCAGTTCCCAATTTTTGCCCAGAAATCTTGTCTACTTCCAATATTCAGGAGGATAACTATGTTTTTCTTTGGGTTCACCTTCTTATTTAGCTTCTCTAGGATCCTGAATTATAGGCTCAATGTCCTTTATTTGTGGCTAGAAACCAATTATGATTACATCCCATGATCATCTTTTTTGGGTCTGGGTTACCTCACTCAGGATGTTTTCTATTTCCATCCATTTGCATGCAAAATTCAAGATGTCATTGTTTTTTACCGCTGAGTAGTACTCTAATATGTATATATTCCACACTTTCTTCATCCATTCTTCCATTGAAGGGCATCTAGGTTTTTTCCAGGTTCTGGCTATTACAAATGATGCTGCTATTGTAGCCGCCAGCATGGCTAGTTTATGCCCAAAATAATTACACGGAAACTGTATTCTTTTAAACACTGCCTGGCCCGTTATCTGTAGCCTCTTACTGGCTAGCTCTTACATATTAATCTATCCCGTTTCTAATAATCTGTGTAGCCCACGAGGTGGCTTATCATGGAAGATCTTAACCTGCATCTGTCTGGAGTGGGAGAATCATGGCGACTCCCTGACTCAGCTTCTTTTTTCCCAGCTTTCTCTTCTGTTTACTCCACCCACTTATGTTCTAACCAGTAAAATGGGCCAAGGCAGTTTCTTTATTATAATTAACCAATGTCCTTCCTCCATCATGCTTTGAACATAGTTGAACAAATACTTTTATAGTATGATAGAGCTTCTCTTGGGTATATTCCCAAGAGTGGTATTGCTGGGTCCTGGGGTAGGTTGATCGGAAATTTCCTGAGAAACCGCCACACTACTTTCCAAAGTATTTGCACAAGTTTGCATCCCCACCAGCAATGGATGAGTGTTCCCATTATTCTACAACCTCTCCAGCAAAGGCTATCATTGGTGTTTTTGATTTTAGCCATTCTGACAGGTGTAAGATGGTATCTTAAAGTTGTCTTGATTTGCATTTCCCAGATCACTAAGGAGGTTGAGCATGACCTTAAGTGTCTTTTGGTCATTTGAACTTCTTCTGTTGAGTATTCTCTGTTCAGTTCAGTGCCCCATTTTTAATTGGGTTAATTAGGATTTTAAAGTCTAGTTTCTTGACTTCTTTATATATTTTGGAGATCAGACCTTTGTCAGTTGCGGGGTTGGTGAAGATCTTCTCCCAGTCAGTGGATTGCCTTTTTGTCCTAGTGACAGTGTCCTTTGCTTTACAGAAGCTTCTCAGTTTCAGGAGATCCCATTTATTCAATGTTGTCCTTAATGTCTGTGTTGCTGGGGTTATATGTAGGAAGTGGTATCTTGTGCCCATCTGTTGTAGGGTACTTCCCACTTTCTCTTCTATCAGGTTCAGTGTGTTCAGATTGATATTGAGGTCTTTAATCCATTTGGACTTGGGTTTTGTGCATGGTGATAGATATGAATCTATTTTCATTCTTCTACAGGTTGACATCCAGTTGTGCCAGCACCATTTGTTGAAGACGCTCTCCCTTTTCCATTGTAAACTTTTAGCTCCTTTATCAAAAATCAGGTGTTCATAGGTTTGTGGGTTAAAGTCAGGGTCTTCTATTCAATTCCATTGGTCGACTTCTCTGTTTTTATGCCAATACCAATGTTTTCAATACTGTAGCTCTGTAATAGAGTTTGAAGTCAGGGATGGTGATGCCTCCAGACAATCCTTTATTGTATAAGATTGTTTTGGCTATCCTGGGTTTTTTGTTTTTCCATATAAAGTTGATTATTGTCCTCTAAAGGTCTGTCTGTGAAGAATTTTGATGCGACCTTGATGGGGATTGCATTGAATCTATAGATTGCTATTGGAAGAATTACCATTTTTACTATGTTGATCCTCCCAATCCAAGAGCAAGGAAGATCCTTCCATTTTCTATTATCCTCTTCAGTTTCTCTCTTCAAAGACTTAAAATTGTTGTCAAATAGATCTTTCAGCTGGGCGATGGTGGTGCACGCCTTTAATCCCGGCACTTGGGAGGCAGAGGCAGGCGGATCTCTGTGAGTTCAAGACCAGCCTGGTCTACAGAGCTAGTTCCAGGACAGGTTCCAAAGCCACAGAGAAACCCTGTCTCGAAAAACCAAAAAAAAAAAAAAAATAAATAAATAAATAAATAAATAAATAAATAAATAAATAAATAAATAAATAAATAAATACAAATAGATCTTTCACTTCCTTGGTCAGAGTTACCCCAAGATATTTTATGCTATTTGTGGCTATCGTGAAAGGTGATGCTTCTCTGATTTCCCTCTCTGCTTCCATATCCTTTGTGTATAGGAGGGCGACTGATTTTTTGGAGTTGATCTTGTATCCTGCCACATTACTAAAGGTGTTTATCAGCTGTAGGAGATCTATGGTAGAGTTTTTGGGGGTCGCTTATGTACACTATCATATCATCTGCAAATAACGAAAGTTTAACTTCTTCCTTTCCAATTCGAATCCCCTTGATCCCCTTATGTTGTCTTATTGCTATTGCTAAAACTTCAAGCACTATATTGAAGAGGTATGGAGAGAGTGGACAGCCTTGTCGTGTTCCTGATTTTAGTGGGATGGCTTTGAGTTTCTCTCTGTTTAATTTGAATTTAGCTGTTGGCTTACTGTAAACAGCCTTTTTTATATGTAGGTATGACCCTTGTATCCCTAATCTCTCCAAGACCTTTATCATAAAGGGGTGTTGAATTTTGTCAAATGCCTTTTCAGCATCTAATGAAATGATCATATGGTTTTTTTCTTTCAGATTATTTATATGATGGATTACATTGATAGATTTTCGTATGTTGAACCAGCCCTGCATCTCTGGGATGAAGCCTACTTGATTATAATGGATAATTTTTCTAATGTGTTCTTGGATTTGGTTTGCCAGTATTTTATTGAGAATTTTTGTGTTGATGTTCATGAGTGAGATTGGCCTGTAATTTTCTTTCTTGGTTGGGTCTCTGTATGGTTTTGGTATCAGGGTAACTGTAGCTTTATAAAAGGAATTTGACAATGACTCTTCTGTTTTTATATTGTGAAATACATTAAGGAGTATAGGTATTAGGTCTTCTTGGAAGTTCTGGTAGATTTCCACATTGAAACCCATGTCCCTGTGGCAGTAACATTGTCAATAACACACAATGCATTAAATTTTTCCACTTTCCCATTTCTTTATAGTGTCTTCACAAATAAATTATGAATACTCAATCATTTTTAAGATCCTATTTAACATACCAACTAGATTGATGTCTGAACATTATCATTCAAAAACAATATAAGAAAGTCTCCCTCCTACAAAAACAATACCATGGAACCACATGATCTTAAATTTGACTTGTCTCCAAAGTCTAATTGTAGTACTTTTTAAAGTTCCAAAAGATTATCTCAGACTTAAAAGTCTCTTAATTGTGAGGTCCTGTTAAACAATGTACTACATTCAGTGGAGTGATGGTGGCACATGCCTTTAATCCCAGCAGTAGGGAGGCAGAGGCAGGTGGATCTCTGTGAGTTTGAGGCCAGCCTGGTCTACAGAGCGAGTTCCAGGACAGCCAGGACTATTTCACAGAGAAACCCGTCTCAGGGAAAAAAAAAAAAAGTATCTTCCACAAAAAGTGCACAAGGTAAAACATTGACATACTAAAATGCAGTAAAGGAAGTATAACATATGAAGTTCAAAACAAAGCAATGCTTAAAATTATCACAGCAAAAACACTAAATTACTAAATATTGCAACTCTGTCTCTCAAATTTGGACACATGACAGAATTTCATAGGATCTATCAGTCTTGAAGTCCCACCCCTCCAGTTCTGTCATGTGCAGCACGTGTAGATTCTCTCTTGGTATAATTCCTCTGTTCTTATAACGATACCTTACCTGTTGTTCCAATGCAGAGTATGAGGTCTCTGAGGGAGAAGTTCATTTCTTTTACAATTATAGCTACTTTCTCTGTACTCTCCTCAGCTGCAAATTTACGTTTTCTCAAGCTCCTTTCTTCAGAAAACTGTACTTTTTTTTTCTTCTCTATTTGTTCTCAGTTTAGTCCTGGGTGATGTCAGTAAACAATAACTATACTGCAGACTGA